TTTATATTATATATTTTATTTTAATTTATTTTACCTATATTATATAAATTTTATTTTTTATGTTTTATTTTATTTTAATTTTTTATTTTTTATTATATATTTTATTTTAATTTTTTATTTTAATTATAATAGTATAAAATATTTTTAATACGATAATAAATTTAAAGAGTAAAATTATTTTTAAGAACATTATATCCGTTGACTGTAATATGATTGTATTACAATCTTATATTACAGTGATCTATTATAAAATAAATAATTTAATATAATTTAATTAAATATATTATAAAATATATATTTTTACTTTTGTAGTATCAAACGTCATCTAAAATGATAGGGTGAAAGACTTGAGCAGGCATTGCAACGTCACAGCTGCAATTCTGTCAAAATATGTATGAGCTTTTTATGTTTTATTGTAAAAAATCATACTGCACACCATGGTTTATAATTTACTAAGGATTAGTTAATTTGTAACTAGATTTAGTTTAATTTATGTCGGTTGCTGTACAAGATAAATAGATGGGTTAATGCAAGTGAATGAAGTTTTGTCAGTGTTCATGTTCTTTCCTTTTTCTATAAAAGGGTTCCAACATATTTCTAACTTCCAGAGTGCAGACCAGAAGGGGTTCCTTCTATTTCTCCTCATCAATGGCAGAAGTAACGAAGAGGTAGTAATTTTGGCTTCCATGTGTGCTGTCTCCACGCTTTCAGGGTAACACAGCACCAATAACCTTTGTTCTGTTTTTAATTCTCTGAACCATACTGTTTTTCTTCTCAGATATGCAGTGGTTACTGGTGCAAACAAGGGAATTGGATTGGAAATGTGTAAACAGCTAGCTTCAAAAGGAATCACGGTGTTGTTAACAGCTAGAGATGAGAAGAGGGGTCTTGAAGCTGTTGGGAAGCTGAAACAGTACGGCCTATCTGATAATGTAGTTTTTCATCGACTTGATGTTGCAGATGCCGCCAGTATTGCTCCTTTGGTAGAGTTCATCGAAACACAATTTGGAAAGCTTGATATTTTGGTATTATTTCAGTTCCAACCTACTGCAAAATTGGAATCTCTTTAATATGAATGTTTCAGTTAATCTGCCCCACTCCCCTCGCCCCTTTATTTTTCTATTTTAATTCTTTTACCTGTTCATTTGATTTGCTGGGATCTTGTGCAGGTGAATAATGCAGGAATTGGTGGCGTAGAAGCCGATGCTGATGCTGTTAGAGCTGCAGGGCTTGGTAAGGTAATCTCCTGTATAAGACGAAGTTATAAGTACTAATTAAGTAGTGAACAATACAAGGTTGATCCAAAAAACCGTCCTTAATGTCTGAAGATGATTTAGAATATACTCTTGGAACATCTAAGTTTCACTCATCGATGCAGCCTGGTATAAAAGTAAACTGGAGTGAGATAATGACTCAAACACCCCAGTTGTCTGAGGAATGCCTTGAGACAAACTACTATGGTGCCAAAAGAATGTGTGAATCGCTTATTCCCCTTCTCCAGAAATCTGATTCACCAAGGATCGTAAATGTTTCCTCCTCCATGGGAAGGTTAAAGGTAAAAACGAGGCAAAACTCTTTGCCGATCAAAACTTTTCACCATAAAATTGATGCAGGTTATTTTTCAATGAACTAGTTACTTTCAGGACAGTGATAAAGAAGGAACATAAATGTATTTTATAATAATCAAATTTAAATTTTCTTTTAATTCTGATTCAGAAAGTATCAAATGAATGGGCTACAGCAGTCTTCAGTGATGCTGAAAATCTTACAGAAGAGAAAGTGGATGAGGTATTGAGCCAGTATCTGAAAGATTTCAAGGAGGGTTCATTGGAAGCAAAGGGTTGGCCTACTTTTATGTCAGCCTATACACTTTCTAAAGCAGCTATGAATGCCTATACAAGGATCCTGGCTAAGAAGTACCCAGGTTTCTGCATCAACTGTGTTTGCCCAGGCTTTGTTAAAACAGACATCAACTACAACTGTGGGACCTTAACTGTTGAAGAAGGTGCTGCCGGTCCTGTGAGATTAGCATTGTTGCCTAATGGTGGCCCTTCTGGTCTCTTCTTTTTCCGAATGCAAGAGTCAGATTTTTAATCAAATTGGCTGCTTCTTTTAAAGAAGCTGAGCTTGTGGTTTGGGAAAAAGTGGTTTGAATAGGTTCAAGAGTCTGAATTAATGTTACATAATCGAGGTGTTAATTGCTTGAGTACAAAAAAGCAACTGAGTTTTAGCTTGTGCAGACATATGATATTTGTCTTGTGTGGTTTATAAATAGGTTTAAGAGTCTCACTGTAAAAAAAATGCATTTGGGAGAATAATTAATGCATGGTGTTCTTGCAGTCTGCTAGTACAAACTTCTCTTGCTCCGACCTTTTGCATGTCCTGCTTTCCAAATGGTATTCATTGAATAAGAGAAAGATCTATCCACCTATACTATTATTCAAAGTTGTCCTGAAAAATTGAGAGACAATTGACAGTAACAGGTGTTGATACGTATTCTAATTGAGGTTATTAGAGAGTTTTAGACTCATTTCAAACTTTTGAAGCTTATGTTTTTTAGAATTTGAACTCTCACCATTACATAAAATTTTAAATTTTAAATAAAATAAATACGAAATAAGCCCGAGTTTCTAATCGAAAAAATTCAACCTAAAAAGATCAAAATAAAAAACCTCAAATCCAAACAAATAAAAAAACCCCAAGCTCATACTTCAAAGGTCTAAATGTCACTCACACATAATTTTTTTAACTTGGGAATCAATATATTAGGTTTTAGTTCATAATTTAATCCACCTTATAAATATAATCTTTTGCATTATTATGCTTTTGATAAATAGATATTGTTTTTTTTCATTTATGAAATTTTTGAGAAAAATTATTAATGAAAACTTTTATTAAATTTCCATTTTTAAGAAAAATTTTCTGAATAATTATCTTTTATTATTCAATTTATCAAGTTAATAATTTTATTATTCTTTACTTTATTTTAAGTAATATCATAAATTTTAATTATACACAAAATTAAAAATAAAATAAAAATAAAAAATGTCTAGGAAATACCCAATTACTATTCTTTGACCCATGTATGCTGGTGGCAAGTTGAAGACAGACTGGGCTTCTTTCGAGTTTCTCCACATCAATCATCAATGGCAGACGTAACGAAGAGGTTTCTTCAATATGTGCTGTCTCCTAGGTAACATAGTACCAGTTCTGTTTTTCAATTCTCTGAACCCTATTTGTTTCTCTTCTCAGATATGCAGTGGTTACTGGTGCAAATAAGGGAATCGGATTTGGAATATGTAAACAGCTGGCTTCAAAAGGAATCACGGTGTTGTTAACTGCTAGAGATGAGAAGAGGGGTCTTGAAGCTGTTGAAAAGCTGAAACAGTATGGTCTATCTGATAATGTAGATTTTCATCAACTTGATGTTGTAGACCCTGCTAGTATTGCTTCTTTGGTAGACTTCATCAAAACACAATTCGGGAAGCTTGATATTTTGGTAAAGAGACTGCAAAACGGGGATCTCTTTAATTTTGAATGTTCCAGTTGCTCTGTCCTCCCCCTCCCCCTCCTGTTTCATTTTTCTGTTTTAGTTCTTTTCAATGTCCGTTTGCTTGAACAATGAGAGACGCTGGAGTCTTGTGCAGGTGAATAATGCAGGAATATACGTTAATGGTGTCCAAGCCGATGCTAATGCTCTTAAAGCTGCAGGTCTTAGTAAGGTAGTCTCCAATATAAGACAAATTGTAGCTTGTTTATTTGCATAAACTTTTTTTTGGGTCAAATTTACTTAACTGACATCATTGTAGAATGAAGCAGTTCAGTTGAAAAGAAATAGTACTCTATTATATTTTCTTTGGTTACAAATACATATATGGTCTAATGGCTTAGCAAATACAGCAAGGTTTTGAAATTTTCAATGTTATAGACCTATGGCTTTTTTCTTTTTTTAACCTTTAACTATTTGAAAACTATCATATGTAGTCTTTTTTAGCAGCCAGGACATTGTCTTTTGAGGATTAATGCTTTTCAATGCTATTCTGTAGCTGGTTAGTCTTTTGGAGTAACTGAATAATTTATGCTATATAAAGCCATAAACTTTTACTAGTTCGAAACCAAAGTCCGCATCTTTTTCGTTGTAATATCAATTACATAGGCACTATTCTCTTCGAATTCAGGAGGGATCAATGCATTAAAACAAATTTCTTTTCTTAAATACCGTTTTAATCAATGTCATTAGGTACCTGTTAACATTTTTCTTTTCTTAGTTAGTTATCAACTTTTTTTTTTATTCACATAACATATTTCTTGATTGGTCAAAGGTTATAAGTACTAAGTAGTGAATAACACACAATCTGAAGATGTTTTAGAATACTCTTGGAATATCCAAGTTTCACTCATTGATGCAGCCTGGTGCACAAGTAAACCGGCATGAGCTAATGACTCAAACAGCCGAGTTATGCCTTCAGACAAACTACTATGGTGCCAAAAGAATGTGTGAATCACTTATTCCTCTTCTCCAGCTATCTGATTCCCCAAGAATCGTAAATGTTTCCTCCAACATGGGGAAGTTAAAGGTAATAAGAAGTAAAAATCTTTGCTGGTCATAACTTTTTGGTTGAGTAAAATTGTCACTTCCAGGACAGAGATGAAGAAGGTACATAATTATTCTACAATGATCAAATTTAGTTTATTTTTCTTATTCTGGTTCAGAACATATCAAATAAATGGGCTAAAGCAATCCTCGGTGATGCTGGTAAGCTTACAGAAGAGAAAGTTGATGAGGTGTTGAGCGAGTATCTGAAAGATTTGAAGGAGGGTTCATTGCAAGCTAAGGGCTGGCCTGCTTTTGCGTCAGCCTATGTACTTTCCAAAGCAGCTATGAATGCCTATACAAGGATCCTGGCTAAGAAGTACCCTGGTTTCTGCATCAACTGTGTTTGCCCCGGCTTTGTTAAAACAGACATGACCAACTATGGTGGGATCTTAACTGTTGAAGAAGGTGCTGCCAGTCTTGTTAGATTGGCATTGTTGCCTAATGGTGGCCCTTCTGGTTTCTTCTTTATTCGGATGCAAGAGTCAGATTTTTGATCAGAACTGCTTCATTTAAAGAAGTTTAGCTTGTGGTTGGCCCAAATACAAAAGAAAAGTTTAGCTTGTGAAGAACTGTTGATGTTTGTCTTGCGTGGTTCATGAATAAGTTTCAAAGTCTCAATCTGATATAAGCATTTAGGAGAATAATGCATGGTGTTCTTGCAGTCTGACAGTAGAATCTTCTCTGCACCGAGTGTTTGTAATTAGGCTCCATTGTGCCTTGCTTTTCAAATGGTTCTCATTGTTTGAAATGAGAGATAGCATTATTACCTTAAAATATGATTGCCTAATCAGATAACTTCATCTGCCCGGTTTCTGCATGAAATTTAGTTTTATTATTTAAATCGTAACACTATATAGGTTTATTTGGGGTTTTCAGAGATGGGACAGACCCTTTTTCCCCTTTTTGAAACAAGGGGATAGGAAGAGACCCTTCGGTACTAAATCATTAAAAATGAAAGAACTTACGTCTATAAACATCCTTGAGTAGAGCCCACAGACGAACTTTTGGGTCCTTTAGTTTTCTGTGTACAGCCTGTTTATTTCCGGATGCATGTGTGAGTTTTCCCCTCAACATTAATTTGTTGATTCTCGTACAAAACAAACAAAAGGTGAATGACATCCCAATTACCAACAGACAAGTGCAACATAAACAAATGAAAAAGATGCTATGGGTACTTGAAGTTAGGAAAGCGAATCTCAAGTCAACACAAACCGTATGAACCTAAGAACCCCCAGAGTTTCAGATTGATTTCCTCTTCAATACCAATGGCAGAGTCGTCAACGAGGTATTGCTTTCTTTCTTCAGTCATTCTTTTTTTGTTTCTACATTTTTCAGTTGAGCATAGCCTCCATTCTTTTCACTTCTATTGAGCTTTTTCTTTTTCAGGTATGCAGTGGTTACAGGTGCAAACAGGGGCATTGGATTTGAAATATGCAAGCAGTTGGCTACAAAGGGTATGACGGTGGTGGTAACGGCTAGAGATGCGAAGAGGGGTCTCGAAGCTGTTGAGAAGCTGAAAGAGTCTGGTTTATCTGAAACTGTCGTTTTCCATCAACTTGATGTGACAGAACCTGCGAGTATTTCTTGTTTGGCAGATTTCTTAAAGGCTCAATTCGGAAGGCTTGATATCTTGGTACATTATTTTGATTATAGCTTCTTGAATATCTTTCCTGTATAATTTCAGGCCTACACCATTTCAATTTGTATCTAACTATTAAATTCCACGGACAGATCAAAACCAATGTAGCATGTTATGTTTTGATTATATCTTCTTACGGTTATATGATCGAAAATCCTTCAAGCAAACCCAATGGCTACCTATCAAGGGATGAGGGATGTTGGAATTCTGTGCAGGTGAATAATGCTGGAATTGGTGGTGTTACAGCAGATCAAGATGCTGTAAGAGCTTCCATTCTCGGCAAGGTAACCTGATCATCACCATTGCTTGTTTCAAGGATATGCTAGTGACTTAGATTCTTCTCCTTGATCCAGCCCGGGGCCCAAATCAACTGGAGTGAAATACTGATTGAAACAAACGAGTTAGCTGAAGAATGCCTCAAAACGAATTCTATGGTGTCAAAAGAATGTGTGAAACACTCCTTCCCCTCCTCCATTTATCTGATTCGCCAAGAATTATAAATGTTTCTGCTTCAATGGGGCAGTTAAAGGTAAATCAGGTTAAAACCTTTACACTTTCAGACATATTAGAACCTTCTTACTGTTTTCAGCTAAAATGAACAGCAAAGCAAATGATTTTGTCGCCAAACCTTATCAAAGGTACTTTAATCCTTCATCAATGCAGCTTAGTTTGCTATGATGAAAAATTTGTCTGCTGCAGGTCTCACTATTTCTATAGCAGTTAGATATTGTTTCTCTTTACTTTGATTGGCATGCTTTGAATTTTTCCTTGCAGACCTGGGGATTGTTTCTGGAAATTAACTGTTATATTATACTCCCAGTAGTAGTCAAACTTAACTTTCTTTTATTTATTTTTCAGAATATTTCAAATCCATGGGCCAAAGCAGTCCTCGGTGATGTTGAAAATCTGACAGAAAAGAAAGTAGATGAGGTACTGAGTGTGTTTCTGAAAGATTTGGAGGCAGGTTCATTACAGGCAAAAGGCTGGCCTACTGTTTTGGCTACCTATTCCATCTCCAAAGCAGCTATGAATGCCTATGCAAGGATCCTGGCTAGGAAATACCCCAGTTTCCACATCATCTGTGTTTGCCCTGGCTCTGTGAAAACAGACATAAACTACAACACTGGCCTGTTAACTGTTGAGGAGGGCGCTGAGACTGCAGTGAGATTAGCTCTGCTGCCCAACGCTGGCCCTCCTGGCCAATTCTTTGTTCGGATGGAACAGTCAGAATTCTGATGATCAGATATTTCTCCATTTTCAAAAGAAAGTTCACCTTGTGAAAAGTTATGCCTTTTGCCTTCTTTTGTCAATGACCACCCACGAATCTCAATCTAATAAAAGCACGTGGCAAATTATTGCGTGTCATTCATGCAAATATGCTTCCATCTTGTGTTATTTCATTTCATGCAAAAATGGTTTCTGTATAACATTTACTCAGCCTTTAAGCTATATATATGTGGGAAATTTTGGAAGGAAACAGTGTTGCCTGTCATCGTTCACCATACAAATATAGGCATTGTCCAGGTTATGGATTACAATTTACAATTCCAATATCAAGACAACTATATATCTGAGAGGAAGTTGCAGAAGGGTCCCAGACTGAGCCAACAGGAAGCCAGTTAAGGATGGTGAGAAATTTCCTTTCAAAATGAAAACAAAAGATGGCACAGAAAGAAGCAAGTGCAACTTCACCTTCTAGCTCTTGTTCACCATATCCAACCAAATTTGGCTGCTTCCTTGGCCTATCTGACACCACTGATAAAAGATTGGAGAGTTGTCGGTTCTATTGGGAATACGCCATTATCATCCTCTCAGGTTCTGCTCTGTCTCCTACTTTCCTGCAATCCCAAATTCAAGAAAAAAATAAAAGAAAAACCTTCAATGCACAAAGTATTAGTATACATTGACCCCAATTTACCAATGGCTTTACGGAAGAAGGCGGCGTCCGATATTAACCGTCAGATTGGATCGAACTAACACGTGGACGATCCTGATTTGTGTTCCAATGAATCTAAGAAAACAACAGCACCACACAACAAATAATATTTCTCCAAGTCATCTTGACGGTAATCTCCGGATCCAAAGAGTACTCCCCCAAATCTGAAGCAACCCCATCAACGGAGTATTTAATCCCCAGGAGATCTACTTCGAATCCAGTCTCCCTCTCTTACACAGTCTCAACCCATTCTTCGGAACTCCATCAAAATTCTTAAAAGGTCAGCAATTTTCAGTACATCCCCACATTTTCTCTGGCTCTAAATTTTCCATCTGTTTCATAAAAATGCAGCTTTTTTAAAAGAAAATTTTAGTTTTCCACTTTTACTGAGAGCATTGCAATTTTGATGGCAGAAGCAAACTAGATAAATTCCAATGGCTGTGAGGAAACCTGGTTTGATTGCTTTGTTTGATGTTGATGGCACTCTTACAGCTCCCAGAAAGGTATTTAATCCTCTAAATTTTAGTGATATGATTTTTGGGTTGTTAGATTTAAGTGTAATTGACATTTTTCTTTCTTTTTTGTCGAATGTCTCATTCACTTTAAATGGTGTAGGTGGCTACTCCCAAAATGTTGGAGTTCCTGAAGGAGCTGAGGAAGGTATATGATTTGATTTGGAATAAAGAAACGATTTTTATCATGACACTTTCGGTTTTCTTCTGTTAACTCTCTCAAAAAACTAAAATAGTGTCAATTTTTTTAATTTTTTAATTTTATACTTGTTTCTTTGTATATATATGATAGCACTATCCTTTTTTTTCACTTGTAGGTTGTTACTGTTGGAGTAGTGGGTGGATCTGACCTTAGTAAGATATCTGAGCAGCTTGGGAAATCAGGTTTGTAAATGTTAAATCTTATTCATTTGGTTGTTTCTTTATTATAAACAACTTGCGGCTAAATACATCTCTTTGTAGTTTAATTCTGTGTAATATTAATGGCTATGTCTATTAACTATAGTATACTTTTTTCGATGCAGTTATTAATGACTATGATTATGTATTTTCTGAAAATGGGCTTGTTGCTCATAAAGGTGGAAAACTCATTGGCACCCAGGTATAATCAGCACATGTATTTTCTGAGTGTGTCAGTGCTAGTTTTAACTTTTAGATAACGTAGCTATCAAGGTTGACATTTTTTCACAACATCACTTCTTTGGGTTGATAAGATTTGCCATATCTTGTAAATTTAAGAACTAATGACAAGTTTTTGAACCCCCTTTCTGGATTTAAAGTTGATCTGCATTCCTTTAATTGGTCTCTGTTCCTTTTTCCAGAGCTTGAAGTCATTTCTTGGAGAAGAAAAGCTGAAGGTTAGATTCTTCCCTCTTAGATGTGATGACTCTTCTATTGCACATCCAAAAAGAGTTTGCGTAAAGAAAAAGCTTTATGTGTAGTGTGGTTAGGACTCCATTGGCATTCGTTAGCAGTTCTCTTACATTTTTAGTTCTTTTAATGTCTGTCTGGATGCCAAAAGACTGATTAATGATGATATTGTGAATCTCTGTGATCCTTATACTCTTCTTTATCAAAATTAAAGGAAGTGGGATGGCTAGAGTATCTACACATATTAGGCAGGGTGGTTGAATGATAGGCAGAAATACTGCATGTGCAGAGAATTTATTGGTGTTTGCTATCAAGTCTTTGTTTATAGATCTCAAACGATTGTGCAGGAATTTATAAACTTTACACTGCATTACATTGCTGATTTGGATATCCCAATAAAAAGGTGAGAAGATTCAAAGAATGGACTTCAATATTTAAGTTTAGTTCAACTTATTCCTTTATAAGTCAAGCTGAATAAGACCACCTCTCTATCAATTTTTTATTTAGAGGAACATTCATAGAATTCCGAAGTGGGATGCTCAATGTATCTCCAATTGGGCGAAACTGCAGCCAAGAAGAAAGAGATGAATTCGAAAAGTATGACAAGGTAGAGGAAAGCCTTTGGTTTCTGCTGTCGAAAAGATGTGGAATTTGTATTCTATAGATTTTATAGATGTAGCTTACATAAATATAAACACTTGGGGTTCCAGGTTCACAACATACGCCCAAAAATGGTTTCTGTGCTTCGAGAAAAGTTTGCTCACCTTAACCTGACATTTTCAATTGGAGGACAAATAAGCTTTGATGTAAGTAATGCATATGGTTTGTGATTGAACAATTTAAAATAAAAGGAAAATTGAACAGATACATTGAGTTAATTATTGCTTCATTTTGCTTGCAACAGGTTTTCCCCCAGGGTTGGGACAAAACATACTGCTTGAGATACCTTGAAGAATTTCAAGAAGTTCACTTCTTTGGTGACAAAACTTACAAGGTTCATTCTTTTTTCATACTACTCTTTTGGCCATCCTCTACTGCTTTCTTTCCCCCTTTTTTCACCCACAAGTTGATCCTTTTAAGACAAATTTACCCTGGTGGTGAGGCTTGGTCTCCACCCTGTATAATACAATGGATATACTGTTATTGTTACTAGTTCATTGACTTTTTTCGGTCTATATGCTTGGCAGTAAACCTTCTTTCTGTCCACTAATTTTGGTATTCCTTAATGAGGCTAATGGTCTTGCCTTGGTGTTTTATGATCAGGGAGGAAATGATCATGAAATTTTTGCATCGGAGAGAACAGTGGGTCACACAGGTCAGTTGTGTAATTCAAATACAAACTATTTACAGGCACATTTTAAATGCTCATTGGTAATCAGAATACAATGATGTAATATCCATTGACTCTGCAAAATTTTGCGAATGTTAGTGTGTGCCAATAATGCTTCAGAATGATCAACGATATGGTTTTTCTTGTTGCAGTTACAAGTCCTGAAGATACAGTGGAGCAGTGCACAGCTCTAATCCTGAGCAACCCCTGAACTTCAAACTTTTATTCTTTTTATTGTTAAGTGATATACGATTTGTATCACGTATTTTACACGAAGAATAAGCGTAAGCAGATCTCTAGATCAATTATGTAGCTTTATGAGTCATCGTCTAAGTGATGGAAATTTGTCAATGGAGAACTTGCGAGAATTATTGTATCACAATTCTCTTACTGTAACTTGTGTGAAAGCAAATTTACATTGGCGTTCAATATATAAAGGTTGCTGCAATTTACACCTTTCTGAGACCATGTATCAAATCTCATTAAAAGAAGAGAAAGAAAGAAATCAATTGCAGAAAAGACTGATTACATGCTTGAAGACTGTCAAACTAGGCAGCCTTGCTTAGTAAGGTGCCGTAGAGCTAGAACGTCGAAGCAAATGAACAAGCAACAAGTAAAGCAATAAGGGGAAACCAAACCATTAATCCTCTACTGAAAAGCGGAGTTACAGCACCAATAGAGGTTTATTTCCAGTAAATAAATTATTAAGTAAAAAAACAAACGAAATACTCTCATAAAAATAAATACTATAGGTACTAGGAGTAGTAGAAGCTAAACTGAAAGACGTATTTGAAAACTCAGAACTGATAGCCCTTAGGCTTTAACAAAGACTTTGTCCATTGCCCAAATTAAGCTACTAACACTTTGTCCTGAAAACTGTCACTGACACCTACAGCCACCCTCTCAATCCCAAGTCAATGGAGTCGCAAGTGGGTGGCGAGGCAGAACCCCAAAAGCCCGGATTTTTTGTGGCGGTCCACGTTGGCGCCGGATACCACGCCCCTTCCAGTGAAAAAGCTTTAAGGTTGGCCATGAAACGCGCTTGCCTGGCTGCTGCTTCCGTTCTCCGTAAAGGTCCTGGTGGATGTGTAGATGCTGTTGCCGCTGCTATTCAAGTGCTCGAGGTAAAGCCCCATTTCTCTCTTTTCCTAATAATATGTTGCCCTTCGGGTAGGGTCCATTTTAATTTTAAAAAATGGTTAATTTTGTTAAAAAAAAGGATGATCCCAGCACAAATGCTGGCAGAGGCTCCAATTTAACTGAAGATGGTAATGTAGAATGTGATGCAAGTCTTATGGATGGTCACTCTGGAACTTTTGGGGCTGTTGGAGCTGTGCCTGGTAAATTTTATATTCCTTGGAGCAAATCTTATACTACTCTTCTTTTAAGTTACTGAGTATCTGTTTTGTTGGTTTTAGACCAGGTGTTCCAAATGCTATTCAGATTGCTGCATTGTTAGTGAAGGAGCAAATGAAAGGGTCTTCTTTGTTGGGTCGAATAGCTCCCATGTAACAACTGCTTTTCCTTGCTTGCATTTGCTACTATTGAATTATTATAAAATTTCTCTTTAGTCAAATTTTCATGTTTATTTTTGTTGTTATTGTTTAACTCGGGCCTTTTATGTGATTCCCCAAGGTTATTGGTTGGTGAAGGTGCACGCATGTGGGCAAAGTCTAAAGGCATTCCCTTGCCAGAAACTGTAGTGGAGGCTGATCAGGTTTGGGTTTTCTGCAATGTTGTGTTCACCTCTCTTTTAGAAAAGAGGATTATTCTCCATTACGTTTATAGTTTGTCTTACTCAATGTAAATATTCTAGCAGATCATTCTTTTCTTGAATAAAATTTTCTTGTTTCTATTTCAAAATAGTGGTTAGTGACACCTAAGGCAAAAGCACAATGGAAACATTACAAAGCAATGCTTGTTGGTGCCAAGGCTGAGATTGATATTTCTTCTGAAAAAAATCCTTGTAATACACAACAGACTGCATCAATTCAAGGTATTTTATCACATCAGATATTAGAATTGATTTACTTTTTCTAGTTCAAAACCAATAATTTTTTATCTAGTGATTGCTAGCTTATAGAACTAACC